CAATCCATTATTGCATATACTGATATTTTAACTATTATTTCATCATTTGTTGTTAAAAAAGAAAACATTATAATTAAATCTGTTATAATTTTAATTTGGTTTGCTCGAAAAATAATACCATAATCCTTCTAGTTAACCATCTTTTTTTTTTTTTTTTTTTTTTTTTTGTGGTGCTGAGGATTGAACCCAGGGCCTTGTACATACAATGCAAGCACTCTACCAACTGAGCTATATCCCCGGCCCCTGGCTAAGCCTTTTGAAAACAATTTTTAAAAATTGAGTCTGATTACCTTGATCTTGGAAATCTGTGAAAGTATTGGAAAGGAAAGGGGAGAAGGGCATTATATAAATATCAAAAGTTTTTAAAACCCAGAAAAGGCTGTTTTCCACAAAATTCTACTTAAGCAGAGAGAATGAATTCATGACAGGGTATTATAATAATGCCATAGAAGCAATTCTTGTCTCCATGATGGGAAGCTATATGTCAGAATAAGAGAAATCCAGGTCTGTTATACTTACAGTAGACAAATAATGTATAATGCTATATGCATTATGATGTCAGCTTAATGCTGTATAGATTATTATTATACACATGTCAGTTTCTATTAAGAAATTTTAATTACATCTCCAACCAATCTCCTCTCTGACCATCCCTATTTTACAAAGAAAACTGTAACTGAAACTACAGTGACTTTACCGGAGTTAAGCAGAATACAAACAGTAGCACTTTTCTCATAAGATACTATTTTACAACCGATAGGTTACTTTAAGGAAGTAAGCCAGGTTCTATTGGGGATGCGAATGGTTCCGACTTAGATTTGAGTGAGATTTTAGGATCCATTATGATTGGTTAAATGCTCCCATAGAATTCAGTACTTTTCTTTCAAAATATTTACCAGTTCACAGTTATATATTTGTATGATATTACCTTTCTCCCCTCACATACTAAGATCCATGAAAACAGGGTAATAATTACTTCTATCTACCAATGTAGTCATTGGTTAAATGGGTTCCTGGAATGTAGTGAATGTGCAAAACATCTTATGGAAAAAAATGAAAGATAATTATTAGGAGTTAGCATTGTTCTCAAGAAGCACTTAGGAAATGGATCAGTGCCAGTCACTTGATATGACAAATGTAATGAAACTTTTTTTGGGGGGAGGGGTACTGGGGAATTAAATCCTTGAGTGCTTTATCACTGATCTACAACCCCAGTTCATTTTTAAAATTTTTTTTTTTTATTTCATCACAGGATCTTGCCTCAAATTTGCAATCCTCCTGCTTCTGCTGGTATCACAGGCATGTGCACCATACCTGGCTTCTAATGTTATGAAATTCTATAAAAGCTATTTTTGAAGAATTAATATCACATTTCAAACACACTCAGCTTTCCCTATTATCTTTTTTACAGAGGTGAATTTCAAGTCAAAGTTGACATTCTCTAATGTCTATAGGATAAAGTCCTTTGTGCATGTTTTATTAGAAACATTCTATTATATATTTTGTTTTATAATTCAGTTAGTTATTAGAGTCCAGGTGAAAATTTAAAACATCAAAAAACAAAAACAAAGCAAAACAGAAACTTTCTTGGAAGCCCATCCCTTCATCTGTTACATCAGTAATACATAAATAAATTTTCTTAATTTTCTCCTTCACATGGTGTGAGCCATCTGAAAGAAAGTGGGGGTCACCTGAGGACATGGTAGGAGTAAATCAAGTTTTCAAATTTGAGCATGTACCAGAATCACCTGGAAGACTTGATAAATAAAAGGCACATGGTTGCACTATACCCAGAGTTTGTTGATCCTGTTGATTTGATGTGGTGGGCAGACAATTAGTGGGTTTTTTTTGTTTTGTTTTTTTTAAAGGAGAGGGTGCATACTGAAGATTGAACCCAAGGCCTCATGCTAGCAATCTAACTCTGGGCTACAATTCCAGCCCCCAAATTTGAATTTCTAACAAGTTTCCAGGTAATAATGATGGTGCTGGTCTTGAGATCACATTTTTGAGAACCACTAGAAAAGAGTTGCTAGAAGGAATCTTACCATGTTTAATACTTGCAACAGGTTTGGCTGAAACAGTCTCATAGAGCTCATAGAGAAAATTACTGTGGTGAATTAATGAAACCCCAAATGTTAAATATTTGGCACTGAAAATGGCCTGTAAATGGTAGTTACGGTTTTTATTAACTTATTAACTAAAGTAATAAATCACAATGGTCCTGGGACCAAGTGACCCAAACTACTTAAATCTCTTAATATATTAATTGATCCTAGGAACAAAACTGAGATTTTTTTTTTTTTTTTTAGAAAAAAGTATGGCAATGGATCTGGTATTCTGGTTACCGTGGCTTAGCGCAGTTTGATTTGGCAATGTGGGCACAGGGTAGCAAGGCAGCTGTCCCCAAACGTACAGTATTGCAAGTGAGCATCACCTGAAGCACAACTTAAACATACAGGTTTCTGAGTTTTACCCTAGAACAACCAAAACCATACAAGGGGGAGAAACCTAAGAATCTTTAAACAATCCTCATGTGATTTTTTTTTTTCCTGATCAGCCAATGGGAAACACAGAAAGGGTCTGTCCCTCTACTCTAATGCTGACTCTTAACAGTCCTAAACGTTATTTCTACGTGTTTGTTAGATGATTGTTTACCAGAAAATTTCAGCAGTCCTTTCTGACTTGGTAGCGCTCGAGTTGAACCAAGTCAACTCGAACAACTGGATAGATCAGTTGAATGTGTTTTTGTTAGTGCTTTGAAAAGGTTCAGTGTTTGGAGCTCTTTCACAGAAGTCGGGCCCCTTGCCTCTTTTCTAATCGCCTGCCTAATCCCTCCCCTCTTGAACTTGCTCCTGCACGAAAGCTCTGCTTCACCTCTTGCAAATCTTGGTCTCAGGTCTAGTTTGTTTGTCCCTTCACCACATTTCTTCAGCAGAACATTTGGTGCTTTCCCAGTTCACAACCCTTTGCTGGAATAGTCCATTTCCAGGGATTTTACAGGCTGGCCAAAACAGTTTGTTCAGAACAGCGACGCCAGGCCAAAGACTGGCAGCCAGTCCGCCCAGTGTTTCCTGACTCTGCACAACCACCCGTGACCTTGGGCGAGCTAGCAAGCCAGCGAGCACCGCCTGGCCCGCGCCTTCCGGGAGGCGTCAGGGCAAGGCTCAGGTTGGACCTTGGAACTGAAAAGACGCGGGGGCGGGGAATGGAGTGGGAGGTTTGGTAAACAGAAGACCCAAAAGCCAAGGGTCCTTTCCTAGAGGCGAAATCTAATATTTGGGTAGAGAGCGGGGGTGAGGAGGACATCTGCCCCCGGCTTGAAACAAAGCGTGAGAACTCGTTGAAAGCGGGCTCGAGTGAGAAAATCGGAAGGAGGGAGGCTGAAGGCGGACAATCAAGTTAAAAATAGAAACACATCCTCCACTGCACTCGCTCTTTCCAGCTCCACCCAGGGGTCGGCCGCCTGGCTAGTGACTCGGCTAGGCGAGGAGGACGCGCAACCAGGCTCTGTTCCGCCCCCAGAGCCCGCGACCAAAGGCCGGGGGCGGGGCCTCGGGTCCGTGACGTAATCGCGCTGCCCGTCGCTGCCGACGGGGTTTTCGCTGACGCACAGGTCCCGCCCCCCCTTCCCCCTTTCCCTCACTGCCCGAGCGCCGGGCGAAGAGCTAGCGTCAGTCGGCCAGATCGCGAAGCTGTCTGCATCAGGACTTCGCGCTCTCTCCCTGCCGGGAGCCGCGCAGCTTCCCCGGCGGTGGCGGAAACGACGGAAAGCGCCTTCGGCGGACACTCACAACGCCC